TGATTCTCTGGGGTGGGGTGAATGATAGTTATGGGGTACATTGATCTGCAGTTGGTCTTCCACACCCAATGACCGTATGGATTTTTAGTCCCAGAGCCTCATGAAGTAACTGAAAAATGCCAAGGGTAACCTAGCCAGAACTAGCTGTTCAACGTGCTCTGTTTCTGAATTTTTAATCTTCTACGCCATACTGTTTTGCTTTGGAGCTGATGTATATCTTTGAGATTTGTGGACTGCTTTTCCCTACCCTTGCCCTGAGAACTTTTAATATTTCTTCATGTGTTCAGAGATTGAAGACTGAAACAAAGGCACTAAAAATGCCAACAATGCCTCGGTACCAGACGGGAAGTGTCTCCAGGCTGGTGGGCACATCCAATCCCAACTCATAAATCTTATTTTGCTTTTCATGAATCTCAGCATCATGAATTTCCCCCAGAGCACTGATAGATCAGTATGTTCATTAAAAACAAACAAATAAACAGAACAACAACAGCAGTAGCAGCCCAAGCCTCCACAACAAAGGGCTTAATGAAGCTTTGTTTCCTTTTCAAAGATGCATTACCTTATGTTTATAATTCAGGGTGGTTTCCAGATATATTCACCACCAAAGGAACGAAATTAAAAAAAAGCAATTGAACACCAGCAAGGGATGAGAATGCTTGATTGTAGCCTCCTCTTCCTCCATGAGGTGACTCTGAGAAAACCTGCCTCTCCAATGGATGTTGAAACTTTCAAAGAAATCAGTTTTCTCTCTGCACCCCCATGGCCCCTGGATGGAGCCAGGACTTCTCATTGGGCATAACAGGCACATTTGCCTTGATTCAGATTCAGGCAGACTCTGCTTTGGCTGGGGAGTTGTGCTCGGCTGACATTTAAGGCAGGAATTCCCTGGGAAAATAGTCAAGAGATTCTTTTGGTGTTGTTGGCGAGGCTCCACAGGGTTTAGGGTTCCCCTCTCCAGCAAATAGGGAGAGGAAAAGAGAGGGAGGGAAAGAGAAACAGAAGGACTTTATTGAGGGACTGTATTTCATCTGAAGCTTGTACAATATGGCAGTAATGTGGTTGGATGCCTGGATACTTTTCTTAACCCTTATCTCTTACCCAGCTAATATGACCATTTGGAGTTTGGTGAGGTGTTTTAAAGGCTGCTTAGACATCCACAGTGGAAAAAAATCAGTTCTCTAGGAAGCAAAGAAATTTGGAAACTTGTGGGCTAGATCAAAATGTTTGAAATGAGCAATCATTGAAATGCAGTAGTCATCATTCCAAATTTAGGTTATATTTGAACATCTAAAGAGCTACACCATCATCTTGGTGTTCATTACCACCCAAGGTGATCATTACAGAAAGGTGGAGAACCCCCATATTTTAACAAACTAACAAAGATATTCCCAGTTTCAAGGAAAAAGCATAAGAAGTTAGACCAAAAAACTAGATGGTTTAAAAAATGCTTTTGGAACAATGTTAGAAACGGAACATTTTATGAAGAGTAGAAGTGGTCATTACCTTTGAGCCCCCCAAAATATAACTGATCTGCAACAGGCGAGTTATGCAGGAAGATCCTCTGATGAGTCTTCTAATAATACAGACAGAACGTTCTCTTGCTTCTTTCCTAAATGATTACCCATCCTTCTCTTTAAATTCTGTTGTTGTTCTTTTTTCATTTCCCCACATTCACACCATCAGAAAAGCCCATCTGAGTTCACAGGATCTGGGAGCAGTCAAGTCTGACGTGAAGTCATGGGGTGTCCCTATTCTATTAAATCTCCTTTCCATGATTTCGATTGATGTATTACAGTTGTACATAATGGTTATTCCCTATTAAATTTCATACAGTGGTGATGTCAACATTGGTAAAAATGACAGTCATGATCTTTGTGACACATCATTGTATAGTGGAAGGAGAAGGGTAGGACAGGGACATCTTGATCCATTCCTTAGCTATTATTGACTGGGGGGCCCTGGAACACTCTGACCCCTGTTTTCATTCTATGAAACGGAACAGGTAATTATCTCTACATTGTGCTTTTTCAAATCTATGGGAAATTTGTGATTCCCTCCTTACCCCATTCTGGTTTTGGACCACCTGTAGGCTTCTCTGGTTCCCAAATTCCAGCATAGAATTATTCCCAGTATGCTGCACTCACTAGTTTACT